GCCGCAATCCCTTCTCCATTCTCTTCTCAGGATCTTGGGCATGCACGCACACACACCCGGCGTGAGTTTTAAGCCACCAGGTCCGGGACGCGAACCGCGGTCTACTACATGGGAGTCCAGTGACATAGCCATTACGCTAACTACTGGTCCCCCAATATGCTTTGTTCTTAGATATTTGAGTTGCTTTTTATCTTTCATCATTACAGGAAGCGTCCTTGTGGATATTTTTGTGCTTGGACACCGGTAGACTCAGGCTATGTTTTCCCTAGCCATATACTTGTACATTTTGGTGAATACTGCCAGACTGTACTTTGTCCTTCAGCATTCTCAGGAGCAGTGCAAGGCTGTGACTTGAGCAACTACCCAAACCATTATCAATATTGTAATGATCAAAATTCCTAATCTTTAGTCTACTGTGCGTAAAATGGATAATGGTGTGATGTTTTTATTTACATTCCTTTAATTATGAATCAAACTCTTTATACATGATGACGACTGGGCGTTATCTGTCATTTCTGTTTCTCTTTCGTCAGTTTGACTTTGACTTTAGAATGTTATTGAAAAATTGAACACAATTTTGCCATCATTGTATTTTAGTGAAAATGCTGGTAGAACGGGTACTGTCAGAACTTTGAAGTGTGCTTGACAGGTGACGGTGAAAAAAGACTTTAAAAGTTAGAGGCAAGTGTAACCAGTTTTACTTCTAAATTCATAAATTCCTATTTTCTCAATTTTCTTGCTGGAAAGATTGGAAATGAAGGTGGGATTGAGAGCCGGAAGCCAGTTGGAGGTTCAGCACTCACTGGGACGCTCTCTGCAAATGGAGTCCTTTGGGCACTTGGACTGTAAAGTCTTGTAGCACCGTCTGAAGTGAGTTTGATTGAATGGAAAGGACCTGGTCTTTGGGGTTCAGAAGTCTCAATCTTAAACCTGCCCTCACGCCCCTGTGCTTCAGGAACCCTTGACCGTTCTCGCCCACTGAAGTCGCATGTGTGTCTCATCAGAGTGTTCACATTTATCTTGTTTGTCACGACATCTGTGTGGAGAAGGAGCACGTTAGCTATTACGTCCTAAGTTTATGTTGGACGATACTGTGGCTTATTTTCTTGACGATTTGATAAACCACTAGTGTTGTCATTGTTTGTGTTCTTGTTTTTTGTTGTTGTTCTTTTGTAAGAGTGGAGATGGAGGAGAGGGAGGTATTTCAACAGGGTCTCATCTTGTCGAGATCCTCTGCCCCAGCACAGCTAGCGAGGACCACAGGTGTGTGCCGGCCTGACCTGTACAGGTCAGTCTGCGGTCTGACCTCCGGCCTCCCACACACCCTTAGCCACGGTGCAGCAGCACCACCATGGCTGGACCTATACAGCTAGTTTTAAGTTTCCCCAAACAGAAGTTTAAAAAGAAAAATTATTGGGCCAGCAGGTGGCATAGTAGTTAAGGCGCTGGACCCTCACATAACTGACCATAGTTTGAGTCCTAAACCTGGCGGCTTTATGTGCATGCATGCCCAAAATCCTGAGAGGAATGGAGGAGAAGAGATGGTGGCATGGCCATTCCCCCTTTGGCGTGGGTGTGGGTGTGGATTTCTTTCTTTTTGTCTCTCTTTGTCTGTCTCTGGAGAGTGCATGTGCCCTATAGTAAAAATCTCTCTCAAAAAATTTTTAAAAAAGAAAAATTGCACCATGAATAACCTTAGCATTCCTGAATTTGGCCTTTTTTGACTATATAATGGATGTTTAAATACATTTCACTCAGGTGTCTACACCTTAGCAAATCTTAACACTGACTCTCTCAGGACATTGGGCACAAAATCTCACATGTAGTAAGTATCAGGAAAGTGTTAAGGAATCAGCGATGGTGTTTCTTTTGAGAAGTTTAAATCAGATTAATGCAGATTAGAGTGGAGACCAGAAATTAACATTTTGATGTCAGCATTGTTTCTTCCTATATATTGTCAAGTCCTTCTGCTGAGAATGGACTCGCTTTTTCTAGTTGTACATTCTTATTTTAACTTAAGTTTGCGATGAACTTTACTTTGTAGCCAAATTAAATTTGATGGTGGTGGCCAAAAACAAAAATCCCAAAAGATTAACCCAAAGCTGCCTCTAGTTAATATGTAGGAATTATAGGAGGTAAAACAGGTATTATCTTTTATTTTTAAAAAATTCAAATTTATGGCAAAAAGAACAAACAAGCTCAACTGATTACTGCTTGGCGGTTTAAAGGCGAATACCTGGAAATTGTGTGTGAAGGTTGAAATACTCCCTTGTTCCCACTAGAGGGGGATTCCTTCCAACTTAGGTGAACCTGCTTCAGACCAGCAGGAAAACCTGTGTGATGTTGATTGTCTCTGGATATGAGATTGAGGATAAGCTCAAGTTTTTAAAATACGCTGTTTTTCTGTAGGCACTGAAATCATAATCTTACAAAAATAGAGAATGTGAAGGATACTGAACTAGAGTCTATTCGTACTTAAATCAGTGCTTTTGCAGCAAACGTAACTATCTCAATAAAGTTACTTTAAAGTTGCTTAGAACTGAAATACTTAGGGATTTCAGAACTCCTCTGTGAGCCCTGCTGGAAAGTGGATCTGGGGTGAGGGGTGAAGGTGACCTCGTGAATCCCCCTTTCCACATCCTGTCCCCAGAGTGTGTGGTCTCCATCTCCTGAGATAGAAAGTCTGGATCCCACAGGAAAGCTTTCTGTGGCCATCCCCCGTCAAACTGTCAAACATACAGAAGGTCTATCCTTCAATAGATTTGTTTGCTGTGGAATTTTCTTGCTATTTTAACTTTTTAATATGTTAAAATATGTGGAACTAATTTTAACTATTTTAAAGCAATAATATGAGGACCGGCGGGTGGCGTGATGGTTAAGGGCGTTGGATTCCCACATGGCCAACTGTGGTTTGAGTCCCAGACCTGGCAGCTTGCTTGCTTTTTCTCTCTCTCTCTCTCTGATCAAATTAAAATAAATAAATAAATAAATAAACAAGTAAAGTTAAATTAAAAATTAATCTAAAAAAATAGTGATATGTGTGTAAAAATACTCCATCAGGGGTGAACAAACTGAACGAGTGAGTGAGGTTTGCAGAAATGATCTGTGTGTGCGATTCCCAAGCTCAGGCTGTGTACTGTCCAAGTTCGTGAAAATATGTGGAACTAATTTTAACGATTTTAAAGCAATAATATGAGGACCGGCGGGTGGCGTGATGGTTAAGGGCATTGGATTCCCACATGGCCAACTGTGGTTTGAGTCCCAGACCTGGCAGCTTGCTTGCTTTTTCTCTCTCTCTCTCTCTGATCAAATTAAAATAAATAAATAAATAAATAAACAAGTAAAGTTAAATTAAAAATTAATCTAAAAAAATAGTGATATGTGTGTAAAAATACTCCATCAGGGGTGAACAAACTGAACGAGTGAGTGAGGTTTGCAGAAATGATCTGTGTGTGCGATTCCCAAGCTCAGGCTGTGTACTGTCCAAGTTCGTGGGGTGCCACACCTTCCCGGTTTGTGCTTTCCCTTCACTCAACTCTGTCATGCTGATTAGAGGTTTCAGTGCAAGAAATATGTGAGGTTCTCAGTAACCTAGTGTGGGGAAAGGCAGGACTTAGGAAATCCAAATGTAAAATGCAAATAGCTTTTTTATGTTTCCTTTTCTTAACCAAAAGTCTATAATAAGACCTTGTTTCTAAATCTAACAGTTAGCTTTGGATATTGAAGTGTAAATAGAAATGCTGTCAGTGGATCTTATAATGATTTTCGACATGTAGTTGAGCCAACATTTCAGTCTTTTGCCGAAAATCCATTTTGGTGTCAGCAACATATGGTTTTCTTCAAAAGGAGGCTGTGCAGCCTCTCAGGCCCTGACCACGCCTGCGCCCCCAACCTGCACCGCCCCTGGTGGGGTGGCCGCCTGGCTGCAGCGCACAGCTGGAGCATGGATTTGCTTCCTCCTTCCTTTGCTAACCACTTTTCTTTCCTGCTGGATGAAGCAGAAAGAGCCCTGTGTTTGTGTTTCCTTCCCCTAGGTTAGAGCCCAGCTTTGTTTTAATGCAAGGTGCATAGGAGGGGCCCTTTGGCCTTCCACTTCACCTGCTGCTGTTGCCTTGTGGGGAAGGGTTGAAAGGAACGCAAGTCCTTTACAGCCTGGTGTTCCTGCCCACCCCCAGTCTTCCTCTGCCTCTTTAAGAAACTCAGACCCTCTCCGTTGTCTTCTTTCCTTGCTCCTTCCTGTCGTGTATTGGTACTTGGTAGTTGTCAGAGTTAAAAGCATTATACATCAGACTGAATAATTATGTTTAAAAAACAGTAATTATCAATACCCGTCTTGTTCCACGCAGCTTTTTAAAGTCATGGTAATGAGCCTGGTCTTCTAATGCCTAAGACTGACAGGCGGTTTTGAAGTTTTGCCATCATTTCACAACTTGTTGCTGAGACTCTGCCTGCCTTTTCCAGAGGATTGCTCACAGCAGCTCCTGCTCTGCAGCATTCCAGAGGGCAGCCCCACTGCAGCCTCTGCAAGGACTAGCACCTACCAGCAGGGCACCCTGTGCCAGGGGGTCCCTGCTCAGGGCTGCTTTCCGCCACCTGTCAGAGAAGGACCAGATGTCTACTCAGAGCCTGGGGATTTCTGAGGAGGAAGATCCCCCTGAACTCCTTGGTTGGCTTGGGGAGCTTGCACCAGCATGTCCACAGGGCGGAGACTGGTTCTGCACCTGCTCGTCCTGTTACTAAGCCTGCCAGGCAGTGGCTGGCATTTCCACCCAGCTCCTGCTGTCCTCCTTGAAAGCTGAAACTTACCCCAGGACTCCGAGTTCCAGGCCATCCCTGTGCTCTGGTCTTTGTGGCTGGACTCAAGAGAGGCTTTTGTAGTGTCTAAGTGATTTTTTTCCTTATGATTTCAGGTGGAAGTCTTGGCCTCGGAGGATGCAGCCTTTGGACTCAAGGTGTGTGGTTGATAAAAAGTTCATGGTGTAGGTTTCGTCAGGTGAATTTGAAGGCTCACCTAAAAGGACTGGGTCTTTAAATCAAATACTGAGATTTTGAAATCTTTGCAAGTGTAGGAGGTTCCTCGAATGGTGATCCGAATTACACTGTGGCGGTGTTTTCTTTACCCTCTTTCTTTGTCGTAGAGGATATGAGAAATAGTTCCGGAAACCAAGAGTTTCATGTAGTAGTAGCTGACTTCACGTTTGAATCAGCTGCAGAGTAAGACTTGGTGAAATTTCGCCCAGTTCGGGAGCACTGAAATAGAACAGCTGGATGGTACTGAGCGCTGGGTTCAGTTCGTAGCTCAGTGCATTGATTCGTTCACCACCTGCTCAGATCGAGCGCCTAAGGTCAAGGCACAACCAAGTCGAAGCCCAGCTCCTTCCTCTGAGGAGCTCACAGAACTGCCCAGCAGACACTGCAAGTGGTGGAGCCATGTCAGAAACCTGCCGGAGGCTGGGTAGGTGGGTGCAGTGCAGTGCAGAGCAAGAAGGCTTTCTAGGGGGTTGACCTTGTGCCGAGTTTTGGGACCTGGATGACACTGTGGCAAGAAAGGAGTCAGGAGAAAATGAGAGCTATTTCAGGTAGGAGAAGCACCATAAACAATCTCAGAGGGGGCTAAAAGCGTGCACTTGGAGAGGTTAATTGTATCCTACAGAAAATGGGCGAGCTGGTGGCATGGCGAATAGGGCAGCTGAATCCCATGTGGCGGATTGCATGGTTTGGGTCCCAGACCGATAGCCTGAAAAACACACCGAGCACATATGCGAGTATGCCCAAACTCCTCAGAGGAGGAGAGAAGAGAAGGATTGCAGTGTATCTGTCCAGACAGCAGGGTGTGCGGGGCATGCTTTCTTACTTTCCTTCTCTCTCCTGTCCTCTGTCTCTCTTCTAGCAAGCACATGCACCCTATAGCAAATTTTTAAAAAGAAAAGAAAAAAGGGGAGGAGAGATTTAAGACAGTAGTAGTCAGACATGGAGTTGGTTACATAACTTTGGCTACTTTTGGGAGGATGATTTGCCAGAGACCACACAAGGGCAGTCAGCTAGACCAGTTGAAAGCTAGTGTGAGCGTGAGCTGGCACAGCGCTCCCGAAGGCACTCTGCAGGCCGGGACATGACTGCAGGCAAGGACGGGGTGGGGGAGCTCATGAGGCGACCAGGGAATACATGATGTCACACTGAGAGAGAACACGAGAGGAGGAGTGACAGGGCTTTTAGAAATGCCATCCAGATCCATATTCTTTATCAGACTGCTTGCAATGTATATTTGCTAATTTTTAAACCACATAAAGTTCAATGCAGGACTTACTGAGCAGATCTGATCTCACTTTCACATAGCGGTGGAGAAGTCTGGATTAAGTGCAGTCCATTATCGGGAGTTAGAAGCTTATGAGAACAGGGCGGAAGGTAGACTCTCACACAAGACATCATGGGTGGTTGCTTCTTCCCTGACTCCTATGTGTCAGGTCTTGGGTATAAAACTAAAAGTTGGCTATATTTTTTCCAGTTTTCTTTTTCCCTGTTTTCCAGTCTATAAGCTTTTATATATTTTAAAAGTACAATCTAATAGTTGTGCAGTAATGACAGGTAAGATGATATGCTAAAACCACTCAAAACTATTCTGAGGTTACCTCAGCAAGATTTTATCTCATTAATACATGTAAATTAAAAGCAAAAGGGTAAACTAATACTTGATAAAAATCTGGTATAACTCATGTTTATAAGCATATGGCTTTTTAAAAATGTTTCAGTACCCACCCAAAATTAGTAAATTATTTTATTTATATATTTACTATTTTTGGCAAAAGGTGCATGCATTTGCTGAGGAGAGACCGAAAGAGAGAGGGAAACTGAGAAATCACTCGAGTCGGGAGCGGGCAGTGGCCATACCATAATCCCTTCTCATTCATTCTCCCCTTGGGATTTTGGGTATATATGCACACACACCAGGTTCGGGACTTGAAACCCAGAGTTGACCATGTCGGATCCAGTGCTTTAACCACCATACCATCTGCTGACCTCAATAAATTATTAATTCTTATTAGAGCCAATTCAGTATCATGATATTTAACATCTGGTCATTTTCTATATTTTTCACTTTTTATTTAGTGCAGAATATTCCTTCAATATGTAATAAACCTATAGAGTCCGTACTTGTGAGCTCATCTTCATCACTTCATATTTACCAAACCTGCAGTGATGTTCGAAGTGGGCAGGGCCTGCAGCCCTCATCTGCCCGGTTGCGTAAAAGCTTTGCATTTGTTTTATAGCTAACCGAGCAGATTGCCTTCACAGCCTTAAATTCAATTTAAAGTGTTAGATACTTTTTACTTTTGCAAATCTGTACCAAAGTATTGGGTCATTCGAAAGATCATGACGTACTTTTCTAGTTTTATATGCAAAAATGTGTCATGACTTTTCCGATGACCCAATATTTACACATAGAGGTAAAAATGAGAAATGTGAGGACCAGTCCCGAGTGCAGCTGCTCAGTGCTGTGGATAGGGAGCCAGATCCCACATGGACAACTGCATTTTGAATCCTTGCCCCAGCAGCTTGAGAAACAAGCCGGAAGTGTGTTCACCCCAAATTCTGACAGGATAGAGGGATGAAGGGATGGAGGAAAGTTACTATGGTGTGACCACACCCCACGGGGAGGTGCTTTGCCCCCCACCATCTCTCTCGCTCTGGTGAGTGCATGCACCACCATCTGACAATAAGATAAAAAATAAGAAATTTAAAATTTTCTACTGTTTCATTGACTAGAACTTGGAAATGTGTTTCTGAGTTGCAAAAATTATCTTAGTTTTTAAAAGGGCTAGATATTGAGCATTGGTCAGGTCTTCAAAGCTGTTTATAATTGATGCTTTTCCCTGGTTTTATAACGTTGGGAAGAATAACTCAGATAACTGACTCGCTTATGGCCCGTTACTGCCTCATCTTGGTGAGTGAAAGAACACCGCAGGTCCCCTGGGGTGTGGCCTGCCCTCGCCCTGCACTGCCCCACATGCACCTCCAGTCTAAAGTGGGAATCCTTAATCATCCTGCAATCTCCGCCTTTTTAGTTTCCAAGTCTCTGCCACTTGTATGGTGGGATTTCTCCTAGGCCAGACTAAGAATCTAACGTTGATTTTAAGATTGAAGCATAACCTCATCAATCTCACTTGAAAATAACTTAAACATGTTGTGATCCAGAGATACCAACCACCAATTTCTAGAAACGAGTGTGGTGAAACTGCAGCCCAGGAAAACAGAGTTGCTGTCATGCAAAACTATTTTGACTATTAGGGCTGATTTGAGATAGTTTTAAAAATCTAATCTAATGAGAAATATTTATGTTCTTGTACTTCCTAGATCTTAGTCTTACATAAATAATGATCCATTTTTTTAGAATTATTTTTATTTAACTTTATTTATTTTTTTTTTCAATTTGACCAGAGAGGGACAGAGTGAGAGAGAAAGAGAGAAAGGGAAAGTAAGAAAGCAAGCCGCCAGGTCCAGGACTTGAACCGCCCTCAGCCATGTGGGAGTCCAGCGCTCTTCACCACCATGCCACCTGCCCGCCTTAATGATTCGTTATTTTTTAGCCTTATCTCAGTTAAAGGGAACTTACAAATTTGAATTGCTAGTAACTATTTCACAGTATATTAAGTGCTTTAACTGTTTTCTAGTGATTTTGACTTTTTCCTCTGGATTTAAGTAACTTTAATTTTATTTAGTTTATTCCTATGAAATTCTAGTTAAGATGCTTAATTAATTTTAAATTATGAATACTTTTAAAAAGAATTATGAATAGGAGTTGTGCTTCAAAAAAATATATATATATATATATGTCTTTAAGGAAAATTCTACAAATGATAGACCACTGTTGCTTGCTTTTGATCGAGATTTGAATATATAGAAAGAGTTAATAGAAAAATACACCATAAATCCCAGGGGTAGCTAACATGTATGGGTTCTTTCCTTAAAGAGAAGCATGCTTCTCTGTCATCGACAAGCTAAGTATGTGGCTCCTAGTGGTGAGATGATAAATCAACTGAGCATGTACATATGTATTTATATAAAATTATATTGGTTAAAATAGAAAAAAAGTTGACTTTTGTTGCTTTATGAATTCTACAGAGAAATTTATAGTAGGAAGTAAAGAGGGGAGTTATACCTGGGTCATTTGCTTAAAAAAAAAAACTATGAAAACACGAGTTTTTCATAAATTTTAAAGTTTTATCAGTCTTTATAAATTACTCAAAAATTTTATGATTGTAGACATTCTTTGCCTTCTGGCTTTTTGTAGACTGCTAAATCAAGAATTATAAAGAAGCAAGTTTTTGGTTAGCCACCTCTCCTCTCTGAGGTGTGGTCACTGCTATCATCCCAGTATGAAGTGAGGGATGGGACTTTGGAGAGAGCTTGCTCAGATTCACACAGTGAATCAATGGCAGAATTGGGATTTGATCCGAGGAAGGTCAGCCCCAAAGCCTATTTCTTTTTCTGAGGGTCCTAAGAACAGATGAGGTGCGCATTGTCACCCGCCCCCTCTCCACACTTGCCTCCTCCTGTGTAGCAGCCCTGGTGTCTGTCCTTGTCCTGAGCTGCTTGCTGTGACCCCTAGCAACCTCCCCAAAGCTAAATCTAGCAAAGCACTTCAACCTCTGCATTTTACTTTCCTTTTTGCAGCATTTGACCTAACTGTCGTCTTCTTTCTTAGAGCGCTGTCTTCCGTTGGCTTCTCCACAGCTCTCTGCTGGTTTTCTTCCTCCATCCAGCTGTGGTTTCTCAGACTCTCTCTCCACAGCCATGCAGTATGGGCTCTCATCAACTCTCTCTCTTCACAGCACCTCATCAGCTCTCTCTCCACGGCCATGCAGTATGGCACCTCATCACCTCTCTGTGGCCATGCAGTATGGCACCTTATCAGCTCTCCCCACGGCCATGCAATATGGCACCTTATCAGCTC